TTCAATATATGCCAATGTAATTCTCAATTAATTTTTTCGCATCATAATTGAGCCGAGATGGTCAACCGGTCATGCCAACTAATATTTATTTCAGTAAACCTCTAGTTTACTTGTGGCTTGTGATTGAATCATCATGCTTATACTTGTGTAGTACAAATAGAAGAAAAGTCAGGTAATCTTTCATATTTACCCGATATGATTATAGTAATATAAAGATATTCAATCTTCTTTTTATTTATAGTCTCAATATGCCAACCACTTTGGCTAATATATTTGTAAATCAGGATGTTTATTTTAAGACTTACTACAATATTAATGTCACGAACAATTTTATTCATCCGGGTAGTAAAAAATTAGTTCTCTCAGAGCTCTTAACTGCTTTTGTACTACAAGATCTTTTGTCACACCATCCATATAATGAATGTCTCCTTCACAAAGAGAATCATATCATAATAATTAATTGTCATGTTCAAAATCATCATAACCAAAATAATTTCTTACTTTAATTTTGCTTTTAATAACTTTCATAAGGTTTGATAAAATATTTTTGGCGTATCACATGTATGCGACCAATGATATATTTATGTAACTACACAGTAATATTCATTATCTTTCTTTCTCTCAAACCTCCCTTAGAGGTGAGTTGTAGTATTTATCCAACCATGCACAAGTATATTATTATGTATAATCTTTATCACATATATATTTTCACATTCACTTTCAGGAATGAGTATGCAATCTCAATGTTTATCACAAGTCACATTCTCTTCAAAGAATTTCTCCCTTTTTATAATTACCATAGTGATAACTATTATTATTTTGGCCTTTCGCTCGCTCACATTCATTGGTCAACCACTTGTCTTTATTTAGACTTATCATGCACTGCTATCACATTCACTTCAAGAATGGAGCAAATCAAGTGGGACAAGCTTCATGCTTTTTCATGAAAAATATATTATTTTTCTTTAGTTATTATTATTATTATCAATATGGTGCATTAGGACTTAAACCCAATACCTTATTCATATAAAGGTATGCTAGGCCATAATGCGTTGGAACTTGAATCCAACGTCTTTTCATCAACATAGTGTGTTGGGACTTGAACACGTCGTCTTACCCTCAATCTTTGGCATAATAGGCCAAAATTCACTAGGACTTGCACTCGAGCCTCTAAAATATTATTACTTCACAATTATAGGCATAAGTAAATTAACTTTCAAGAAGACTTATATAACTATTTCAATCTTGAAACAGTTCCTCTGCAACAAAAATGTTAGTTAGGATATATGCCATTTTTTTTAAATGATACAATCACTTTTACATTTTAATAAATTAATTAGGAAAAAGGTCCAAATAATCTATAACCACTTATATTTCAAAGACTATAGAACTTCACCCAAAAAAAATTCAATACGGAGGAATGAGCCTTATGTTTCCAGCAAAAATATTTAAGGCTTAATGCATAACCGTGACTATTATAAATTATAACTATAATGAGTTTATATTGATTGTATATTCGAGTGCCAAATTTGCAAGGTACCGTAAAATCGCCTACATATTTGATAATTTTGCTTTCAATGAAATACATCATGTGATGGTAAAAATATTATTACTAAATTACCTTAATAATTATTTAACATAGTATGTAAACGGTCAGAACATATATATACGTTGGAATATTAATTTTATCCTATAAGAGATGTAGCAAAGAAAGACATACCTTTCCAATTCTTTATTTCACTGGATACAATTGAAAAAAATATTTTAACTAAACACTGCATATAAAGTTAATGCAAAGATATGAAAGTATGAATGGGTTTAGATGGATGTAAAACTTATCTTTGTATTATCATCCAAGACATTTTTCATTGTACTTGATCTTATTGTCTGCTTATAATTTATATAGTCTTGACGTAGAAGATCATGAAATGAGCAATTCGTGCTGATAACATGTTATAAAATAAAAGCAATTTAGAAAAATATGAATAAGAAATGTTGTTATGAAATAAAAGCAATTTAGTAAAATATGAACAATAAATGGAGATAGAGAGAAGGAAGAGATTTTCTTCTTCAATTGTGTGTATTTTCTTATCTATTACAAGGCCTTTATATAGGCATGAAAAGTGAAGAAAAATATGTCATTGAATATGTCATTAAGCATAGAAATATGTCATTGAATATGTCATTAAGCATTTGAGAAGATCATGGAGGAAGAGTAGACATCCACCATAATTTGATTTTTCTTATAACAGTCGTTACTTTTTTTCTTAATCATAGTTAATTTATGTGAAAGCAAATAAATTTATCAAAGTAACTTATTTATTCAATATCCAGGAATACACTAATGGTTCGGGTTTGGATATTGGAAAAAACTTACCGGCATCGGGCGTTTATATAAAGTCTATTTAAGTTAACCATGAAAGATAAGAAAAAAGTTTATTAGGAGTTCTAAGTCTATTAAATGTTTTAATTTTAATAAACAAAAAATTTAAAGAAGGAGATTTGGGTGCCCTACTGTTTGATACTTCATTTGCTTTCTAACGGTACAATTCATTCTTTTCGATTTATTTAACGTTTCGTTAAGAACTTAGCGGAAATAGCTAAGATATTAAGTAAGTAGTATTATTTTGATACTATTATTTAAGATTACGTGCTAAATAAATGGGATTAAAAACTTAGTTATAGTTAAATAACGTGACAAGTGTTATTCATTTATTGGCTTGGTGTAAACACTCGGTGATGGTAAGTTTTTACCTCGGATATTCTTGAATTTATTATTCTATTATCAGAAATAAAACAATCAAGAAGTGTATTGAAACTTATTATGAAAATATACGAACGAACATTTAAAGAAAAGAGATAGATCATAACGTTTCAGGCGCAAAATTTTATTGAGAGGTGTTTCGTCCAACAAGTGTCTGAGGCATTCTACCTTAGTGCTAAGGCGTACAGCGCACTCTGTTGAAACTAAATAAATTAACGTCTTAATTAACCAATAATCTATGATCTAAATGTTTGGAGACTTGCCAGGAAAGTTGAACCGAGAAAACTACTTTAACTTATTAGTGAAATATGTTCAGTTCTATTTTTTCGATTTTTTTTTCAGATCAGAATTTGAATTCCTAGTCCTTTTATGGCTAAACCTGATATAAGTCTTTGGCATTAATGTCCTTAACCTGCTTTCGATCTCCAGTTGCTACTGATATACGATATTTTCAGTCAAGCAGGGATGCTGAGTTTCTATGCCTAACCCCCACCATGGTTCTTTTGTTTAAAAAATAAAGAACTAAAAATGAATTAGCACTTAATTAGTTCGCAACGCACCCATAGTATATATTATACTAATGGGTGTGTTGCGAACTAAATCGAGTACAAGTGCAAATTTGCTTCCACGTCTCACTAAATCAAGAACCGCAATTATCTCAAAGAAATGGTTAATTCAAATGAAATAAAAAGCTTTTTGTACAAGGTACAAATTGAAAATTTTCTTTATCTGATACAAATTGACCAAGGACCAATTCCCTTTTAATATAGGAGTACTAACTTAGATTAATATAGAATTGTGAAGGTAGACCGCATCTGCCCTTCAACACCTGATGTGTCTAGCTAAGAATTTCATTAGCCACAAATAAATTGATCAGTTCTGGGAGAAGAAACAATGGCATGAAATAGTTGCACTCCTTTCTGATGGTTTACCTTTGCACTTTGCAGCTTCTTGTGAAGGACTCTTCAAAGAGGCTCTCTCTTCAAAAGATCATGGAGCACCCTCAGATAATTAAGAATGCCGATCTCGAGTGGCATGTGAAAATGTCACCTTGAGCTGGTTCTCGCTAGATCGGCATTCTTAGTTATCCAAGGGCGTTCCATGATCTTTTGAAAAGAGAGCCTTTTTGAAGAGTCCTTCTCAAGAAGCTGCAAAGTGCAAAGGTAAACCATCAGAAAGGAATGCAACTATTATTGCATGACATTGTTTCTTCTTACAGAACTAAAGCATAGACAAGTAATAATCAATTTACCTGGCTAACGAGATTCTTAGCTTCAGCATAAATATCAAGAGTTGAAGGGAAATTGAGGTCTACCTTCATAATCCTATATTACTCTTTAGTACATCTTGATTTTCAAGTAACAATTACAAGATGACGGAAGCCCAGTCTAGTGAAAGTAGAAGATCCTACAATGTTATTCATCTTCTGGTGTTTCAGCTCTTTTTCCTATTAGATGTGATAATCATCTCGAGTGGTATGTGAAAATGTCACTTTGAGCAAGTTCCCGCTAGATCGACATTCTTAGTTATCCAAGGGTGCTCTATGATTTTTTGAAGAGAGAGCCTTTTTGAAGACTCCTTCACAAGAAGCTGCAAAGGGCAAAGGTAAACCATCAGAAAGAAGGAGTGCAGCTATTGCATGCCATTGTTTCTTCTTACAGGAATAAAACATAGACAAGTACTAATCAATTAACCTGGCTAATGAGATTCTTAGCTTCAGCAGACACATCAGGTGTTGAAGGGAAGCTGAGGTCTACCTTCATAATTCTATATTACTCTATGTTAGTGTATCTTGAATTTTCAGTAACAATTACAAGATGACAAAGCAGAACAATCCTTACCTTTTGAATGTGTCGGTCTGTTTTTCGGCCTCAAATGGAGGCACACCATATAAAAACTCATAGCAAAGGATCCCCAGCGTCCAATTGTCAACTGCATAATCATGAGCTTTGTTCTCCACCATTTCTGGTGCTAGATAATCCAGAGTTCCGCACATTGTATGTCTCTTGCTTCTAGATTGTACAGACCACCCAAAGTCTGCAATCTTCAAGTGGCCCTATATTTCATGTGATAATCTCATTAATATTTTTCTCTTGCTATATTGGTTTTATCTGCAGTTGTTGGACAATTGAATCCAGTTTTAGTTGGGACGCCCATAAAACAACTTTTCAATATGTTAGCTAGACCATCCCAAACGCTCCATTATGTATAGTCTTATTAGAATACACCTAGAGAATACTTTCTTGGTCCTGACTGTCATTATCTTAGTTGACTATTCATTTGAAACAACTATTATAGTAGACATGTTCTTTTTCTTTTTTTCCCTTTGAATGGGCTAAAATACGTCAAACAAAATGAGATAGATGTAGTAAACTTAGAAGATGTTCCAAGCTCCAGATTGTCAGAATGTCGAATCAATGTAGAACTGAAGGTCACACATTGACAACTATAGCCGAAAACCATACGTAATAAAGAAGCAGAGGTCACTATTTTACTTGAGCCTAGTTGTGCAGCTATATGAGGTGCTATCAAAAGAATTCTATATATAATGGTAGCCAGATAGCATAGAAAAGAAAATTATGGCTTTTGGTACGTAATCCTACAAGCGCCATTTCCTGCCTTGTCGATTAAGTGAAAATACAACCACAAAAAGATGGGCAATGACATATTGGAAACGAGACTGAACAGAAGAAGAGCTTCTGAAGATAGGCGATGACATATTGAAATAAGTGCTTCAAAAGGACTTCTCTTGTAATTAACTCAAACCAAAAATCCATATAATTTGATGGTATAATGCTGCAAGAAACATGATAAAGGCTATGCTTTTTCTACAGGCCGATCTTCAGCTAGAAAGCATTACAAATGGTATTCTAAGATGTAATTGTATGTGCATCTCTAGCAAAGTGTTTAGGTTTAAACCATTGGAAAAAGTTAGGAGGCCTAATTGTTAACGCAGTTGCAAGAAACAACTCAACAAAATGACAGTAAGCTATCTACATGCCAATCTCCATCTTTAGAATTCGGCAACTAAAGGCATCCTGAGATGTAAGCAAAGAATTTAGGATTAACAAGAGAGAACACTGAGAACTTCCTTGTATCCAACTATTGTCTCAAAACAACTATAGGTAACTAAAGAAGATTTGTACTTTGCTCCTCAAAAATTGATTTGTATTTCACTGTTGCCAAATGAAAGGTGGACTGTTCAAACTCTTTTCTCCAGTAAAAACACAAATATAACTTTCAAATTAGCCATGTATAACATTTTCTTTTTCTTTCTCTAGGAAATGGTGTTAACAAAACTTGCACCCGTGGCAAAGGAAGACCGTTAGTTATCAAGATATTACCTCACGATCAAGTAACAAGTTTTCTGGCTTTATGTCCCTGTGAATGACATGCTTCTCATGACAATACGCCAGTGCTTGTGTGAGACTTGCAATATACTACACGAAAACCAATCAAAGTATCAAAAGTCATAGACCTAACCTAAAGAAACAAGAAAGAAGTCGACAACTAACAATAACATTTACAGAAATGTAATTATGTGTTCGACTATTATAAAAATGATTTTCAAATAGATGTGGAGTCACAAAACGACGAGTGTGAAAAATTAATTTTAATTCACTGTTCAACATTAACCTCAGAGGAAATAACATAAGCAAGGCACAGAAAAGAAAAAACATAAATTGATACGAAAGTCAACCTAAAACTGTGCCATCTTTCAAGGAACTACTAGAAGTTCATATGGTCATACCTTACATGGCATAAAACAGACAAGGAAAGCACTGAAATGCGAATCTCTATCCTCTTTGTTTGGGTTAGGAGGAGAGTGAATCAGTTCTTATTGAAACAACTTATAGCTCACATTTAAACAACAAAACTACGCCTCGATCCCAAGCTAATTAGGGCAGCAATATGAATCCCAGCTTTCCATTTCCAACCATTTGGACTCGTCTCATTCCACAACAATAGCAACAACAAATACGCCTCAGTCCCAAACAAGTTAAGGTCAACTATATGAATCCTCACCAACAACGTTATTCCAGTTAAAGTTTTAAACTCATTTCTTACCAATATTATGTAGCACAAATAAAAGGTATTAGAAGTTCTGTATAATTTGTAAACGTATAATTCTCTGAAATGCTAAACTAATCCTAGAAAGCATAGGACCTACAATAAAGTGCTAATATCTAAAACATATTCTCAGCTACTATATATCGCCTAATTCCAATATTCAGTAATCTGGAGTTCTCTAACACTAAAGATTATGAATATATGCTTATGCCAAATTAAATAAAGTATAGAAATAAATCATAAGACAGCAAACAAAATGTGTGGTTTTTTGTCCAAATTCTATGAATAGGATAAGACATACCGTGGCAGCCTGTTTCTCAGGCAGGCGACCAGTCTTCCTGAGCTCCCTGTAGAGCTCACCGCGGTGAGCGTACTCCAAAATCAAGTAAATCCGCTCCTCGTCATGGAACCAGCCATATAGCCTCAGTACATTCGGGTGGCGAAGACTTGTTTGAATCTCCATTTCCCTTCTAAGTTGGTGATGCAACCTGTATTTCTCTATTTGCTCCTTGAATATCACCTTCAATGCCACTATAAACCCACTCTGCTATGCAAAATTCAAGTTCACCAAAACCCGCTACTCTTTACTAACGAAACAATAATTCACATATGTATAAACGAGTATATAGAAAATATAAATATAAATTCAAATTACCTTGATTTCTCGGGCGAGGTATACACGGCCGAATTTGCCTTTGCCGAGGGGTTTCCCGATCTCGAAATCCTGGAGGGACCATTGCTTACTGGGAGTTTTTGGTGGTTGTTTTGTGGGTTTCGGAGGGTGAATTTGAATTTTGGTAGCCATCTTTGCAAGTGCTTAGGGAAGACGGGATCTGTAATTCAATTTAATATGCGGAGGGAAATAGGGATTTCAAATTTGCAACTGTTGCCGCGCTGCTAAGGCGAATCGGGTACGACCCATTTCGTTTTCGGGCTGAGCTGAGTTATGTTAGTTACTCACATCCATTTTTCTTTCTTTTCTTTTATTTCCAAATCTTCTTTGACTGATTTTCTCAAATAGCCATTTTNTATATAGGATCTTTTGAGCTTCCTCCCAAAAAATTGCTTTCATCATACTTTCATCTTAAGTCTATAATCAAACATTTAGAATGCATTAGCTAATTCAAAATTAATTACGCAATTAGCTTATTGAAAAAACATATGCAAGTTCGGGTCGTACTTATCATAATCCGAAATGCCAAAGCGAAAATGAAAATGACAAGCTTAGACATGATGTAGTCACTTGAGAAATAGGAACCATTTATTGCAAGATCAGTTTCTGCATTTAAATATGTTATAACTTTCAGGAAAGATACAAAAATTTATAATAATCACTTAAAAGATCTATTTTTGAATAAGACCTTCAGCACTATTTGCCATTAGTACAAGATCTAATTGTTTCCTGCTCCTGTCTAATAATTCAGGTGTGGTCTTGCCACCAAATGCACTCTGACAGTCATTCACAAATTTGGGACACTTGAAAAGTGAATTTTCTAAGGCATTAAAATTTTTATTGGCTAATGATTGAGTAGCGCTTTGGAGCTCAGTTATCAAGAATCCATAGCCACTATCACAAATAGCAAATAAGTTTTGGATTTCTTTGTCTTTTGAATTTGCTTTTGATGTCTCTATGAAGATACGATTGTTGGTAGCATGTTGTAATGATTGGCTAATAGCAACTTGTGTTACTACAGTAGGAGTATATGGATGAGATGGTATATTTTGTCTGAAAGTATTTAAGCAGAAGGTAGAATCTTGCACTTGTCTACATATATTCATTATCAATGCCTGGTCAGCAGCGTCGTCACACAAAGAGGTTTGGAAGTAGAAAATGTTTGCAACAAGCACTAGAAGAAGGAAATACAAAGCAAAAGAAGAAGCCATTTTCTCTAATAGTTTCAGTGTGAATTTTTTAAGTGAAAGCAAGTGGGCATATAAAGGCATGCCATGTAAAGCAAAATAGGAATGAGCTAAAATGTCCAATTTTGTATCTCTATCATCTACTGCAAGTATCTATAGCATGTATAGAAATGATGTTAATTTTTTTCCTTCCGTGCATCATAGTTGTAAATAAATTAACTAAAAGGTGGATGGTACCTTTGGTAATATTTCTACCTGATTAGTTAAGAGAAACGGGGTGCAATCTGCAATATTAGATCATAATGTTGATGCTAAGTTGATATATAGTAATTACTTTAATATTTTTCACTAGTGCATGCAATGGAAGATGTGTTAGATTTTCTTATCACCTTATTTCAATTACTATGTGAATGTAATTAAATGAACTTCACTTAATATAATATTTCCATGTGCAGATATTGTACAAGGTAAATATTTACTCCAATATGCATCAACTTGCAGTATATTTACCGAAAAACGTATGAAGATAGTTTTACATGAAAAGATATATGCATGTTGGAATCGTACTTACTATAATCCTAATATACTTTTATACATGCATTTTTTTTTTGCATTGAGCTCTTTCATCATATAATCGTAAGAAAACGCATTATGCATCATGTCATACACAGAATCTTAACCATTGCCAAATATGACACCTCTTCATTATGGGAATTTGGTCACGAGTACTCTAAAAAACTTGTAGTCCTTGCAATTTAGTTTTCAACGATTAAAGCCAGATTTTATTGGAACACAGGGCTAACGGAAAATATTATCTCAATTCTGAAAAACAGATACATAAAATATCTAGTTTGATAGGACAACGAGTTCACGTACACGGGTAAATCCGCCCCTGATCCTAGCTTGGTCAATGTGATTTTTTTCACAGGACTTAGCTAGCAATGTAAATTGAACCTCGTGCCTATTTGATTTATTGATTTAATTCTTTTCTTTTGATGCTAGGGTGATTGAGTATTACATTAATGACTGTATATATAAACAACCTTTTTAACTTATCAATAAATTTCATGTTGACACATCAAATGAAACGGTGACTTATTTACATCTGCTAGCCAAAAAAATGTATAAAATTTGTATAATTTTTATATGTAACATACAACAATAACAACAACAACAACAACAACAACAATAACGACCCAGTGAAATCCCACTAGTGGGGTCTAGGGAGGGTAATATGTATGCAGACCTTACCCCTACCCCGAGAGAGTAGAGAGGTTGTTTCCGAAAGACCCTCGACTCAAAAGGACGAAAAGAGACAATATCAGTATCACCAATAGAAATCATAGGAAAAATAACATCATGGAAATGAGAAAGTAGATGCAAAGCAAACGCGATAGACAGTACATAGACCCGGCACTATAGTAAACAAATGAGTAGTAAAACACAACATTGCCACTAGCTAACATCGACAAAAACCCTACCAGACTAGCCTCACAAAGGTATAAAGTAAGAGAGACTCAACTAACTCCTAACCTACAACCCTAATACCCGACCTCCAAAACTTCCTATCAAGAGCCATGTCCTCAAAAATCTGAAGCCTCGTCATGTCCTGCCTGATCACCTCTCCCAATACTTCTTAGGCCGTCCTCTACCTCTTCTCGTGCCCTCCAAAGCCAGCCGCTCACACCTCCTTACCGGAGTATCTAGGCTTCTCCTTTATACGTGCCCGAACCATCTGAGCCTCGCTTCCCGCATCTTGTCATCAATGGGAGCCACGCTCACCTTCTCCTGAATATCTTCATTCCTAATCTTATCTATCCTAGTGTGACCGCACATCCACCTCAACATCCTCATTTCTGATACTTTCATCTTCTGGATATGTGAGTTCTTTACATGCCAACACTCAACCCCATACATCATGGCCGGTCTAACCATCGATTTGTAAAACTTACCTTTGAGTATCGGTGACACTCTCTTATCACACAAGACTCCATATGCTAACATCCATTTCATCCACCTCACCCCAATACGGTGTGTGACATCCTCGTCAATCTCCCCTCCCCTCTCGATAAAAATTGATCTCGTTCAATTTCACTCCTCTATTTGAGGATATGAAAACAGTTGATACAATAATAATACCCAATAGAGTCGGGGTTGAATTCCACAGGGAGCTATGTGAATGGGTGTTGATAGTATATATTTTAGCGCGTGAGTTTGTATATCTTAATTTGCATTTCCACAATATTGGGTTTTGTTTGGAAATCTAAGTTAGACTACAGTTGCGATTTTAAGAATGAAACTAGGAAATTATTTTTGATTTTTTTTCAAATGATAAAAAGGCCTAGGGCTATGACCTTCACCTAGGTGTTCGCTTAATGGGTTGTAAACTTTAAAACTTATTTTATTGGTCGGGGTGTATTATAGCTATCAACACTTAAGTACCCACTCAATACCTCTCGGTCAGAGAGTGATTTTGCCCGATTTGACTTTCTCAAGTCCAAATGATTATTGAACAAAGCAGTTGATAATAAGCTCAAGTCGGGTTTCACTATCTCTAGGTTTAACCCTTTAATTGGGCTTATCAATCTCTCGATTGACCCAATTTCTTGCTAGCCAAGTTTTCCTAGACTAAGTATATATTTCTCAACTAGAGACCAAGTCAAATAGGTATGAAATAATATTTGCAACCATTAGTTTTTCAAATAAAAGAAAGAACAAGGCTAGATAATCAACACCCAACCGTATACAAACAATAAATCAAACACCCATTAAGTTTACACACTAGGGTTGGGTCACAACCCTAGTAAAAATCTAGCTACCCATGCTTAAATTAGAAGAAAAAGAAGAAGAAGTGATAATTAAACCCATATTAATAATTAAAATGATGAAAATAATATTCAAAAAGCTCAAAATAGCTAAAACTACTAAAACGAGCAAAAGAAAACGTCTAGAGTGGCTGCTGATGTCAAAAGTTAACCTAAAAAGGTGAAACTCTTCTATTTATACAGTGCTGGAATTTTTGGACAAAAATACCCTTTCGGAGGTTCTGCGGCCGCACAATTCCATGTGCGGTCCGCACTTTGCTTCAGCCTGACAGGAATAGAAACCTACGGCCGCATAATTCTGAACTGTGGCCGCATTTCTCTCTTTCTGCGGTCCGCGCATTTTTGAGTGCGGACCGCAAAAATGTGACTACGGCCGAATAGTTGTTCTTCTGCGGCCGCACAATAATTGTGCGGTCCGCACTTCTGTTGAACTTGAGATGCAAGTTCTCTCAACTTTTGCTCTTGCCCAGACCGCACTTTGCACTTGTCTCTGATAGGAGTTTCTTCATAATCCGCGGTCCGCACTTCTGAGCTTCTATGCCTGTTTGTGTCCTTGAGTTCAGATCACTCCTTCTTGAGTTGGATTTCATCTTGGGGGCTCATTTTTTACTATTCCTGCAATTAAGCATATTTCATCAGTTTTCGGGAACACAATTAAACGTTGTTGGACTAAAACGAAAGCAAAAAGGTGCTAATAAGTAGTCAAAATCCCCACTTATTAACTCCCCCAAACTTAAGCTTTTGCTTGTCCTCAAGCAAATAAGTTAATTCCCACCTCCACAAGTTAAGAGCTATTCCAGCTAATCAAAGATGCATCAATCACGCATCAATTTGGACCAATAATTACCCACAACACTTATGAATTATTAACAAGGCAATGGGTTGAATATTTAAGCACAAATAGTTCTAACGTGACACTTGAGCATCAAGAGTTGACTTCATTCATCAAGGAAGCTCGCTCTTTCATGTAGGTCATTGTGGATCCTAAACTCCTCCTCTCTACTCTCTGTTTGCATATCTCATTTAAGAATGTAGCACTCAATTCAAAGATTTGTGAAATGTTTGCTCATCTCTCTCAAAAGAATGTCACAAGTACGGCTTTAAGTATCATAGGCTTGCCCCTCATGTAAATCACCACTAATGTAAGCTCACTAGGCTTGAAATCACGTAGGGATTTTTCGGAATGCAATGCAGGCTTTTGGACTACGGTTGGATATGCTATGATAGAACGAGTTCATCTTTTCTTAAGCACTCCATTTTCTCTTATCGGCTCATGCTTTGCCAACTTTTTGAGGTATTTTCTTTTCCATAGGGGGATTAGAGAGACTTAGCATCACTCTTTCTTGGTCATGATATTCATTTTCTCCTTCTTTTCTTTCTCCATGCTCTGCATCATTACTTTTCTTTGAATCCCTTCAACTCTTCAACTTATTCACTTTCTTTTTGCATTTTGCTTTTTGTTATTTATTTCTTTTTCTTGCCTTTCCTTCTCTTCATTTTTTTTCTCTTTTTGTGCCTTGATACCTTTTTCAAACTCCTCGTCTATCCCCCAAACTTACGTTTTTATCCAATTGTTTCACAAGAGTATTAAGGAAAGCTCGGGTGCCAAGGGAGGGTCATGACAGAACGGGTAAAGGCTTGTAACATGGTTATCAAATGAGAAAGGTTTTAGGCTCAAATGGGTTGACTAGGGATAAAAATATTGGTGGGCCATGAAAATTTTCAAGCGAGTCAAGGAGAGCCTACAATCACTTCTCAAGCCAAGAAAAATTTAAAATTTTGTCTAGAGACACATTCGGGGCAAGTTCTAGACCATTCGCACGGGTACTTGGACTGGCAATAAAAATATCTCACCTCTCACGCAGCGGGATTGTTAAAGAGGATAGAGTTGAGGGCCCACAACGACCATATTCAAGATTAAAAATCACTATGGTTTGACTAAACCACTCGATGATTGCCTAAGTCAACACAAGAGTCACAAGGTCACTAAATAGAGTTATATCTTTCCAAAAACCTTATTTTTAACCACAAGCACATAGTTAAGTGTATTGGTACCAAGTGAAGCATGTTTTACTCTTCGAGCCTGACTCAATTAGGTCTTTTTATTCATCATTACTACTATTCTTACCTAAATACCAAAAACGGACTCAATCCCTTAAGAAGGTTGTCATGCCATCCATCGTTGGGAAGAGTCACCCA